CTCGGTAAGTACTGACCCAAATTTTTTTATCCTATAACATGTAGAAAAATGCCCTCTATTTTAATGAAAAAATACATTTTTTTATTCGGAGTGCTAGGCGAAAGAATGTAGATCTATTTTTGGACAGTTAAGGGGTTAAGAAAGTAACTGTTGTGTCAGCTCATTATTGAATGTAGTAGCAGCTAGTGAGAAGGTGAAGTAAAAAGAGTGATATAATTTGGTTAGCCCTTTCAGGGTCCGTCCCGTAGATCTACAGCTTTACGTTCAGGGTCCAAACCGTAGATCTATGCCAAAAATCTAGTGGCGTCAAATTTAGCGCGAGAAGGCTGGTAGGCGTACATCTGAGAGAATGGGTCTGGGTGGTCAGTGTGCACAATATAGAAAAAATCTGGACGCCCACATGGCATTGTGGGAACACCGCCAAAGTAGCTTTGTTCATTCATGCCTGGCGGCAAGGAAGCTCTCACTCCCCACTCACTCTCATGGTGAATTCTGACTCTCCTCTTTACAACTTACAGTTCTAAGACTGATGGAAGTGGAGCTGAAGAGGAATTTTATGGTTTTGAACCATATGGTACCATTGTACCATATGGTACAATGGTACCATATGGTACAATGGTGCCATGTCATACAATGGTATCATATGGTACAATGTACCATATATGGTATAATGTACCACATGGTACATTATACCATATGGTACATTGTACCATATACTACAGGGTACAGGGACCCTAATGGAAATAAGTCTGTCTGACTTTTTTGGGTTATCCTAGGTTCTCCAAACATGCTGCTTAGTATGATATTCTATGTAACTTTATTTATGTATACCTAAATAAACTTACTTACGATGCCACATGTGCTTGAGTAAGTTTATTCAGGTATACACAAATACAGTTACATAGATTTTCATACATAGCAGCATATGTATAAAATCCTAAGATAACTCAAAAAAGTCAGGGTGACTTATTTCAATAGGGATCCCTGTATCTGTACCATATGGTGTCCTGTACCATATGGTACCCTGTACCATATTGTACCCTGCACCATATGGTACCCTGCACCATATGGTACCCTGCACCATATGTTATCCTGTACTGTATGGTACCCTATACCATATAGTACAATGTACCATATGGTACCCTGTAACATATGATACCATGTACCATATGGTCAATAGGACGTGTTGGTGGCAGCTGGCACCAGCCAAGACTGAGTGGTGATGCAAGCTAGCTACTGACTCAGCAGTTTCCAAGACAAAGCTCTCTGTCATCCACCTCAAGTAACGTGTTGAGTTCCTGTACATTTGTAAATATATAATAGAACATTACTAATATACAACATTTTTGTATATTTTTGTTGTAAACAATTATTGTAAACAAAATAAAAATGAAAATATTAGTGTGTTTATTGTGTTGAATACAACAGTACCATATAGTGTGTTTATTATGTTGAATACAACAGTACCATATAGTACCATATGGTACAATGTACCATATGGTACCATTGCATCATATGGTACCATTGTATCATATGATACCACTGTACCAAATGGTGCCACTGTACCATATTCTGCCATATGGTGCCATTGCATCATATGGTACCACTGTATCATGTCATTGTACTATATGGTACCATTGTATCATATGGTACAATTGTACCATATGGTACCATTGCACCCTATGGCAACATTGTACCATATGGTACTATATGGTACCGTTGTATTCAACACAATAACCGCACTAATATTTTCATCATTTTGTTTACAATAAACTTGTAAACAAGTTTTGTAAAAATAGAAAAGAAAAAAGTATAAAAAACGTAAAATAAAAAAATGCTATTTTGCGGAAGTCACTGATGTTGCCGCCACCCGGACATTTTGGGTCAACTTCCCGCCGCTGTATCTCGGTAAGTACTGATCAGAATTTTTTTTTTTTGTTTTATTACCTTCACAAATATATTATCTTTAATTCTGTAAGAAAAAACAATTATTTTTTTTTTTTCAAAATTTCTTGGACACTGGAGCACCACTTTAGATTTTGGCCTTGGACCCTGAAAGGGTTAAAATCAAATGAATGTGAATTACAGAAGGGGGCAATTAGTGGAAGGTATGAATAACTCTTTGGAGAAAAACTGAGCAATGGGAGAATGGTAATAATAATGAGGTCAAGGAACTATGGAGATGATTTTAGAATACAGTACTGATGTATATAGTAAAGGTTTATGGTTATAGGAGGGAGAGTTCAGGAAAGAATAGAAATAATTAGTAGAATGATGAGATTCAAAAAATGGTGAAGGAGAAAAGTGAATAAATGAATACAGTGGAACCCCGCCTTACAATCAGCTCCCAACTCGACCAATTATGTAAGTGTATTTTTGTAAGTGATTTTGTACTTGTATTTTTGGGGTCTGAAACGTACTAATCTAATTCACAATATTCCTTATGGGAACAAATTCGGTCGGTAACGGCACCTGAATAGACTTCTAGAATGAAATAATATCGTAAGGCGGGGGTCCACTGTATTTTTACATTGTAAAAATATAACTAATTCAAAGAATATATATATAGAGAAAGAGAATGAAAATTGGTGAAAATAGTGCAAAAGAACAAATGACAGAATAGGTGAACATCAGTAAATATTTTCAAGTATAAAAAATAGTTTTAGTGTATGTATTCTCCTAATGCCAATACTTATTTATACTTTATATCCTTACCACATAAACACGAGACTGATTACAGTTGCAAGTTGACCATTAACTTTTTTGCCCCAAAATCTATACTTTTCCCACATATCTTTTGCATTAGTCTACCCTAGTTTTTCTTCTTTTTATTTTAAGGGACAGTAGAACATTTGAGAATTATAGAAATTTACCAGGTGTTAGCATCGAGAGCAAACCTGTGCCCTGTGACTGGTAAACATCTTTTTAAAGTGTTCTGCTCACTGTAAATTTTCAAACTTTCTTCTATTTATCTCTAAATTGCATATTTTCATTTAAAATTAGGTTAAAGTAATTTAGGTTGGGTTCAGTTTGGTTACCTAAATGAATAAGAATGAATACATAATTACACATCAAACAATTGGAAAAATAAGCAGTAACATGTCTGGCAAAGTTGTTCAAATTCAAAAGTTTGCCTCTTGGTACGAGAATATCTGATAATCAAATAAGAGCATAAGATCAGATGAGCAATGCAAAATAATACATAAAAACTGAGGAGCACTGCACAATGCCTACTGGGCCATGCTAGGCTAGTCCTGCTCACAGCTACTCACTACCACTCATGCATTTGTCTAACCTATTTTCAAAATAGTTCAGTAACAGTAGTAGAAGTATCAGATAAGCCTCAATGGGACAGATTAATTTAAGCAACCTGTACCCTCCACCACACATCCCTCACATAGTGATCACACATGCAGTACAGCCTCTCCTCACTTAACGACAGAGTTCCGTTTCTGAGACCATGTCATTAAACGAATTCATCGCTAAGTGAGCATACGATAATGGTATTGAGTCTGTGTCAGCCATCTTTGATAATGTTTTTTAATGTCACCTTTGCACCATTTATAACATTTCTGGTATATTTTTATATGTTTATACAGTAGTGTACTGTATATTGAAATAAAAAGAATAGAGAGAGCCCATCGTAAGTCTGAGACGTCAGTAAACGAGTATGTTGCTAAGTGAGGAAAGGTTGTACTATAATAATTAGACATCTCAGCATTTAAGATAGTCATATATTTACCTCAAACATGCAGGATTATACCATGTAGTGAATACAGGAATACAGATGCAAACACAGTGTTGAACATTACTAAGCAAAACTCAAAATGATAAATTCAAATTGGATAAATTTTGATTCAGAAAGGGTATAGGAAAACACTGGTTTGACAATAATTTATTTTTTTGTGTCACTGAATTTACAGACTAAGAACTGTTTTCCTACTTCAATTCATTCCAAAGTCTAGCCCTATCTACGGTATACTATCATCACTCAGGATACAACAATCAGCTAACACCTAGGTTACCTATTTACTGCTAGGTGAACATAGTCAGAAGTAAGAAAGTTGCCCATGTCTTAATCCTCCTGAAGATGAGAGAGACAAACTGCTATGTAGCCGCAATAAAGTAACCACTTTGGACAGCTTTAAAGGTGGGTTTGACAGATACACAAGTGGGAATGGTTGGGAGAGAGTTGGTATGCGAATTGTTTAAGTGTAAGTAACGCCTGCCAGGCATGGACAATATGTCTACTGCAGATCTCCTCTTCTATTTTTATGTTCATTTAAAGGAAAGCACCAGTTTGGCAATAGATTTACAGATAAGTGGAATGAGTAGAACCTACTTAGCATGGCCAGTAGAGTCTACAGCAATACTCCTCAATTCTCTTCTTCTACCCAGAAATTATAGTCCATACATTTCAACCCATCAAGAATATTACCCATGAATTGGTCAACCACCTACAATTTTTTTTCCCTCTCCATCAACCCCAAAAACTCAATGTATACGTGAGTAAATTATACAGGAAATATACTGTATAGCGCATAATAATTTACAAAAGCATACCTCATGTGAGGTGGAAAACACTAGAACACTTACAAAATATAATGACAATTTACAATTAACTTGTCTACTTTAATATGATTATATTATTGGAATTAATCACACTGTGGCTTGGTCAATAACTTCCCGAGTTATCTAGGACAAAAACTTGGTCTAATATGTTATCTTAACCTTTATGGCTGTGTTTACCTTTTGATAAAGTTTTTATCAAAATATGGCAGTAAAATTAATATTTTAATATTTCTAGTCTTTCAGGTACACTGAACATGATGTATATATACTTGTATATTTTATTTTTAACACAAACAAGTTGGCTGTTTTAAATAATAGTAACACTGTGTAAAAGATGAAAACAAAGTTATGGCTATGATACAAAAAACTACATTCAGCAGAGTGCAGGAACGTTACTACACATGGAAACCCTGACAGCTTCAACACACCTCAGGAAAAAATTCTTGAGGAAACTTTGCCTTCTCCTTTGTAGCGACATCTTCAATATTCCCTGAATATTCTCTTCTGTCTACACAATCCATAAACTTCTTTTCTGAAATAGTAAAATCTATGTCAGTACAATAAGATGAAAAATTTTAATGCTGCATTAAATCTACATTAATTAATCACACCAGAGCTTCAAATAAAAAAAGGAAACATTACAGAATAGAACAAATTATTAATAATTAAGAGATGTGTGGTACAAGTGTGTGTATTCCTGTGGGGGTTGATGTATGACAGCATCATCACTGGTCTCCCTGTAATGTGTGTTGACAATCAGTGCAGTGATTTAGTCCAAACTATAAGTTTCTGTAAAAAAAAAAAAAGTAACGAGTAAAATTAGATTTTTCAGAGATGCAACTGGTATTGGATTAAATTTTTAAATCCCAGGTTAGAGAATCATCATCCAGCTGGCCTTGGTGCCAATGAAAACTATATACATACAGATGAACAGAAAAATAAAAATCATTTTTCTATTTGTAAGTAGGGAAGTGAGTATGGGGTCTTCACCTATTGCTCCAGCTTTATTTTTTTTTTTTTAGCATAACACTGACTTTCACCACTACAGTATTTATTTTTGCATTCTCTAATACTATTCCCACTTACCCATGCAGCCTGGTGTGAGGCCAAATTTCCTTGCTCACTGCATGGACAACCAAGCTGTTGCTACCAGTGGCCAGCATATGTATCTACATGTAGCCATCATAGCCTGGCTGAGGATTAAGCAGGATTACTGAGGCAATCATCATCCTCTTTACATCATCTGGTTTCTGAGGCAGCTAGAAGCTGATACTTCACAAGAGCAATAAAACATATGGAACCTGGCAACAGAAACTGCAATAATTCACTGAAATATTTACAAGCTTTTAAATTAAGATGCATGAAGGAGTGTGCATGTGATAACTCCTTTAACCCCTTGACTGTCGCACCTCCAAATCCTGAGGTGTCTCCTGGTGTCACAAAATCCCCCCCCCCTTCCCCCCCCCCCCCCCAAAAAAAAAAAAAATTCTTGTGAAATGATAGAGAATCTTTTCCCAATTGTAATGACACAAAAAGAACGAAATTTGATGGAAAACTGACAGAATTACACTCTCACGAAGTTAGCGACCTAGGCGATATTTACAAATCTGCGATTTCGCCTTCTTTGAGCCCTATTTTTGGCTAATTCCGTTGTTCAGTCAACCAAACTCATAGCTATTTCTTTAGAACTCCACTTTTTCTATCGATTGAGTACAGGAAACAGCCCATTTACTGATTTCAACTACCCAATAACGTGGTCAGAAATTTGCAATTTGGCCAATTTCATGAAAATTAAAAAATATGACAATTTCAAAATAAGGTCCAGAATGAACAATGCAGATATTCCTGGCTCTAAAATAACATTTTCTTTGTTCATCAGTCATGTCTCCAGGCCAATCTGATATTACTCTTGCTTTCTATTTTTTATTCAAACAAAAAATAGAAGATTTATTGTTATGCAGACTACTGCAATATTGTAATAATTATATAAATAATGTCAACCCATTCATGACTGCATATTAGAATGGCTACTTGGACATTTATTGGAAAATGACATCATTTGTTTACTTTTGAACATCGGCAAAAATCAAACATTTCCCCTACTTTGAGCTCCATTTCAAGGTTCTTTTTATAGTAAAATCAATCAAAATCACCTCTATCTCTATAATATGTTTTCCATTCTATCAAATGAGACCAAGAAAACGAGAATACAAACATAAATACTATACAAAAATAGACCACCAAGTCGGAATTTTAATTAAAAAAAAATGCCGGAGTTTTTTTTTTCTCATTATGCACTACGTGCTGCAGGATTTTTTTTATATGATGCACACTGACCACACAGACCCATACTCTCACATGTAGGCACACCAGCTTTCTCCTGCTTGATTTGAAGCCGCTAGAATTTATGAGTATATATACGTCAAACACGGTGGCTCGTAAGACGTATATATACAACTGAAACAGTCAAGAGGTTAAAGAATGCAAGACATCACAGATATGGACATGTTGATGATCATAACAGACAAGAGAATTAACCCGCTCAGTGTCAAATTACGGTTTTGAAGCCAGTGTAGGTCCCGTAAAACAACCCCAAAATTCTAGCGCCTTCAAATCTTGCAGAAGGGTGGTAGGCCTACATATGAGAGAATAGGTCTGCATGGTCAGTGTATACAGTATAAGAAAATCCTGCAGCAAGCAATGCATAATCAGAAAAAAACTGCGACCGTGTTTTTGGCTTAAAACAGCAACTTTGCAGTGTATTTCTGTATGGTATTCATGGTTATATTCATGTTTTCTTTATCTCATTTGATAGAATGAAACATCTATTACAGAAATAGAGGTGATTTTGAATGGTTTACTGAATAATATCTTGCAATTGAGCTCAAAGTAGTGGAAATGTTTGATTTTTGACAATGTTTGAGAGTAAATAAACCAGAATCACGCATCCAATACATGTCAACTGGTGGGTCTAATATGTATTCATGAATGCACTGATATTATTTATAAAATTATTACAATTATGCAGTAGTCTGAATAACGGTAAATCATCTATTTTTCATGTGAATAAAAATTCAAAATGAAAAGCAAGCCTGGAGGGGCCTGGAGATGTGACTAATAAACAGAAAAAATGTTATTTTAGTGCCAGGAATGTCTGCACTATTTATTCTGGCCCCTATTTTAAAATTGACCTTTCTTGAATTTTGTGTGAAATTGGCCAAACTAGTAATTTCTGATCACTTTTTTGTGTAGTTGAAATAGGTAAATGGGCAGTTTCTTGTATTCATTCGATAGAATAAAAGGAGTTCTAGCGAAATAGCTATGAATTTGGTCGAGTGGAACAAAGGAATTGGCCCAAAATTAGGCTCAAAGTGGGCGAAATCACCAATGCACAAACATCGCTGAGACTGCTAACTTTGCAAGAGCATATTTCCGTAAGGTTTCCATCAAATTTTGAACTCTTGGTTTCATTACCTTTGGAAAAAGATTCTCTATCATTTCATAAGAAAAATAAGTCTTTTTCACATTCTGCATGATCAAGCTCTACTTCACCTAGTTTCTAGCTTCAAGGGTTATTTTTATTACCAAGGACTAGTATCTTACACTTATCCACATTGAACTTCATCTGCCATTTTTCAGACCAAAACATTAATTTGTCCAAATCCTCCTGGAGTTCACTGCTATCCTCCTCAGAATGAATTATACAGCCTATCTTTGTATCATCAGCAAATTTCCTCATGCCACTTGTAATCCCTTCATCAAACTCAAAAATCAATAAATTCTCCTATCTAATCTAATACAAATATTGAATAACTTATATTTCATAAATGAATAACCCAGTTGTATAATTAGAGAAATCTTACCAAACCATGTCATTATAGTATTACCTAGTAGAATAATCCATTCTCTTAAATGCACTGTAACTCATCTAATGACCATATGAACTGTTACTGCACTACAGATCATAGATTTGATATGATTAGCTCTGATTAAAAAATTGTACGACTACATATAGTAAATTGATCATTTTGTTATATTATTCATTGTAATGTTAAAAAATTGTAAAATTATAATGCTTCAAAATTGAAATGTTCAAATTTCATTGTTTAAAATACTCAATTGTACTTGATATTGTAAACTGTTTACTATAACTGTTCTATTAATCTTAAGTTAATTTTAAGCCTGTCCATAATGCTCTGCATACAAGGTGATTTTGACATGTACACCCAACTACTATAATACCTTGTACAACTATGTATCATGTCTTAATAAGCTTTTTTTTTTTTTCATTAACACGTAGGCCGATTCCCACCAAGGCTGGGTGGCCCAAAAAAGAAAAACTTTCGTCATTCACTTCATCATTGTCTTACCAGAGGGATGCTTTACACTACTTTACACAACTCCTCCTCTCCTTACGCCTTTCTACTTTGTACTGGACTGATGAAGCCACTGTGTGGCGAAACGTTTCCTGAATAAAGATTCCCATATGTTGCATAAGTGTCTCAATCTTCAACTTGTCGGTTTTTCAAACCATTCATCACAACCATTCATCACACACAGTTATAAAACTGCAACATTAACATCCCTCCTTCAGAGTGTAGACACTGTACTTCCCATCTCCAGGACTCAAGTCCGGCCTGCCAGTTTCCCTGAGTCCCTTCATAAATGTTATTTTGCTCACACTCCAACAGTACATCAAGTATTAAAAACCATTTGTCTCCATTCACTCCTATCAAATACGCTCATGCACGCTTGCTGGAAGTTCAAGCCCCTCGCACACAAAACCTCCTTTACCCCCTCCCTAAAACCCTTCCTAGGCCGACCCCTACCCTGCCTTCCCCCCACTACTGATTTATACACTGTCGAAGTCATTCTTTTTTGTTCCTTTCTCTCTACATGTCTGAACCACCTCAAAAACCCTTCCTCAGCCCTCTGGATAATAGTTTTGGTAATCCCACACCTTCTCCTAATTTCCAAACTACGAATTCTCTGCATTATATTCACACCACACATTGCCCTCAGACGTGACATCTCCATCGCCTCCAGCCTTCTCCTCGTCGCAACATTCATCACCCATGCTTCACACCTACACAAGAGTGTTGGTACAATTATACTCTCATATTCGCTTCTTTGCTTCTATGGACAAAGTTCATTGTCTCCACAGACTCCCAAGTGCACCACTCACTCTTTTCCCCTCATCAATTCTGTGATTCACCTCATCTTCCATAGACCCAACTGCTGACACATCCACTCCTAAATATCTGAATACATTCACCTCCTCCATACTCTCCCTCCAATCTGGTATCCAGTCTTTCATCACCTAATCTTTTTATCCTCATAACCTTACTCTTTCCTATATTCACTTTTAATTTTCTTCTTTTACATACCCTACCAAATTCATCCACCAACCTCTGCAACTTCTCTTCAGAATCTCCCAAAAGCACTGTGTCATCAGCAAAGAGCAACTGTGACAACTACCACTTTGTGTTTGATTCTTAAACTTTTAACTCCACACCTCTTGCCAAGACCCTA